CACCAGTTCGGTAGATTTGACGAACCGGTTCTACCGAACTGGTGCGAACTGGTAGGAACCCACCTCTGCTTCCCACTCTCTCGGCCTTCTGAAAAGACACGAAAACCTGGCTGTTCCGGCAGGCCTGGGGCTGTTGATCAAGGTCCAGCCCCTGTTAAATGAAATGTTTGGTGTGTTTTTTTTAAATTGTATCTCTTCTTTATTTTAACTTTTACTTTTGTTTCTGTAAGCCGCCCAGAGTCCTACGGGATTGGGCGGCATATAAATTTATTAAATTGCCAACTGCCAATTTGACAAAGTACCAACTACCCCAAAAGGTGCAGGGCCTCTTTTGCCAGAGGAATTCCAGCAGCAGCTGGACAGGCTGGAGGGCTATCACTGGGATTATTCCAGTGCCTGGCTTCCTGCCAAGCCATCCGAACAAGTATTTTAAAGAGACTAATTGAAAGATCCAGTTCTACAGTTCCTAGAAAAATAACACCAAAAACTTAACCTTTTGGTTTATGCTGAAGATTTCAGAGGGAAAGGAAAGTTGGAAAAGAGAGCTTTACAAGTTTGGGGATGACCTTTTTCTTCTCTTCAAAGAGCAGAATTGAGTTTTGATGAATACTGAATCGGGGAGCTGCTACTTTAGACTACTGACTCAAAATGATAGCAGGAGGAGGGTTCCTCCACAGTTTCAAGAGCCCGGAATTTCCTCAGCCCAGAGACCATTTTAACAACAAACCATCAACCAAGCTGTATGCCAAGGCAGTTTGATTTCAGTCAGAGATGTTTAATATCTTATAAAGGACACACACACAAACACATACACCCCTTAAATGCTTCAGACAAAATACACCCAATAACTTCTAATTTTTGGCTACCTTCCATAATCCCTGAAAATCTTTCCTCCAATCTGTCTCCATTTTCTGTAGCACCCAAGTGTCCCAGACATTAGAAGAAATACATCCTGCTTCTTATTTATAGTAATATATCATCATGATCATTATTATATACTTTATTCATGAAACAGTCAACTGAACATTCAAAAACACATCACGAATACCATTGATTGGGTCTAATGGTTAATACGGGTTGCTGTCAGCATCCTAGGTATCAACCAAATACCTTCTTAAGATGTGCAATGTTCCTAGTAGCACAGTTTTTTGCAGTTCCACTGGTGTTATTGCAGGAAGCTGCGATTTCTTGATGTGTTTTATAAAACTCTTGGACATGGTACCAAGTGCCCTGATGACAATGGATATCACTGTTAAATGTTTTATCATAATTATGTAGTTTCAATGGTAGTTTAATGATTTTTTTCTAGTTCTTTTTCTCCGACTCTTGGCATCTCTTGGTACCACTAAATCAATAAATTGTACGTTTCAGTTTTCAACAACTGTGATATCTGGCATGTTGTGTTCCAAATGACGATCCATCCTCATTTTCAATAATCTTTTGCAGTTTATGTTCCTGTGACTTTTTGGATACAGGTACCGTATTTTTCAGATTATAGGACGCACCTTTTTCCCTCAAAAAAGAGGCTGAAAATCTGGGTGTGTCTTATACACTGAATACAGATTTTTTTGCTTTCTGAAATCCCACCCACTTCACCAAAATGGCTGTGCATAGCCTTTAGGAGGCTTTCAGAGGGCTCCTGGGGGCTGGCGAGGACAGAAATGAGCAAAAAACAGAGCACTCTATAAGCCTCCTAAAAGCTATTCAAGCCCTTTTTTGGAAAAAAACTGGGCCTGTTTTCATGAAAAACAGGCCATTTTTTGCTTGTTTTTTTGGGGGGGGGGCACCCTCCAGAAGCACTCTACAATCCTCCTAAAGGCTATCCTTGTCCATTTTTTTTTTTTGAAAAAAAAAAGGGCCCATTTTCGTGAAAAACGGGCCGTTTTTGGGAGGTCTGCAGAGTGCAAAAACTTTTTTTTTTAAATGGCCTCTTCAAAATCTTGGTGCGTCTTATACCCCAGTGCGTCTTATACTCCGAAAAATACAGTAAGTCATTTTTTTACATAATGACCAGTGGATTAATTTAGCAACTCGGTTATGTCTAGCTTTGTAATCAGTTTGTGCGATTTTGCTGCATTCACATATTAAATGTGAAATAGTTTCGCCTTTGTCATTGCAAAGTCAGCAGTTTGGATTGTCA